ACACCTCTCACTTATGCTACTTGCTGCTGTTTGTGATTGTGACCCCTACAGTATAGTCAGGGTGCCATATAATCAAGACAGGAAATATTAGGATCTCAGAAGGAGTAGAGCTTACTTTGGAGAGCAAGGTATAGTAGAAAGAATAGGGCTTTAGAGCCAGGCCGATCTACATTCAAATGCTAGCCTGCCCTCCTGCTAGTCTTTTGCCTTAGAGAAGTATTTTCCCTCCAGCCCCCTTTGCTTATGATAAAATGGATAACATCACCTTCTTTGCCTCCCTTACAAGGTTGTAGTGAGCATTAGCAATAACAGATAATAGAGTGCCTGATGTGCCTGGCACCTGAGCACATGCCACGGTTGATCTTGTGGAAAAGTCTAGCAGGATGCTTTGGTTTAAGTACCTGGAAACTGTTATAAAAAGAAGCATGAAAAAAAAAAATAACCCAACCACCACCAAAAAACAAACTCCGTGTAGATTAAAGAGTTAAATCTAAAAAATGTAAAGTCTCAAAAAAAAAAAAAAAAAAAAACTGAAAGGAAGTGCAGTTGTATATTTAACTTTCCTCAGGATGGGAAAAGACTTTCTAAGCATAAAAATCATGAAGACGAGCCAAAGAAAGGTCAGTAGAGTTGACTGTAAAATTTTGAGCTATTCTGTGTTAAATATCGTAAGTACAGTTAACAGGCAAATAGCAAATGAGAAAAGCATTTGCAAAAAGTATGACAAACAAATGTCTTACTATCTGTGGTTATAGATCAATAAGAAAACAACGTTAACACCCCCACAGAACAATGGACAAAGGACAAGAACAGAGAGTGTTCACAGCAGAAGAAACACAAACAGCAAGCAGAATGTAAAAAAAAAAAAAAAAGTTGGGCTGGGTGCAGTGGCTCATGCCTGTATTCCCAGCACTTTGGGAGGCTGAGGCGGGTGGATCACTTGAGCCCAGGAGTTCAAGACCAGCCTGGCCAACATGGTGAAACTCTGTCTCTACTAAAAATACAAAAAAAATAGCCAGGCATGGTGAAAGGCACCTGTAATCCCAGCTACTCGGGAGGCTGAGGCACAGGAATCGCTTGAACCCAGGAGGTGGAGGTTGCAGTGAGCTGAGATCACACCACCGCACTCCAGCCTGGGCGACAGAGTAAGACTCTGTCTCAAAAACAAAACAAAACAAAAAAAAACAAAAAACAAAAAAAACTTGGTTTGTAATCCAAGATCTCTAAGTTTGAATGAGTTGTCATTTCTCCCCTAATTGTTTTTCATTATTGTCAATTGATAATGTTGAGCCAGAAGATAGATACTGTCATGTTTCCCTGGTGAGATTACAGATTTGCTGCAGCCTTCTCAAGAAAGCAGTTTGGTAGTATAAATCAAGTGCCTTAAAGTTCATACACTTGGCTCCAGTAATTCCATTTTTAAGAATATATCCTAGAAATATATGCAGAAATGTTTTGCCCAAAAATCTACTTGCAGCAACTTTTTGTTTATTTTCCCTCTTTTTTTTTTAAAAAAAACTGGTGTATGAAAATCAGTTTCCAATCATGTGCTCCTTACTGCTCCATCATTAGCACTAGCATAATGCCTGATGTATACAGGTGGTCGAAAGGTATTTGTGAGTTTAAAGGAAGGATATGTTCGTACAAAGGAATATTCTATAACCATATTTTTGAAATGTATATTTAAAGATACAGAAAAATGCTCAATAAAATATTAAAAATGGAGTGTACACGATTGTATATCTGGAATCCTCTGTGTGTATGTTGTATAAACTCTGGATGATAGGATTGCAGGCGATTTTCTACATTTTCTGTGTACTCTTCCTCAGTCATTCAGTACATATTTATTGATATGTGTGATAGGCACTGAGAATGTTTAACAGGAAGACCACATAAACTTTCCCTCATGGAGTTTGTAAGAGCAGAGGTTGAATAAGTAATTACAAGTGCATCATTTACTTTAGTAAACTTACGTTACTTTTTACATTCTAGAAAGAAAACCTGTATGATGATTTTAAAGCATTGATGATTGTTTGTAACTTCTAAGGCATTCTTTTAGGACAAGAAAGGGATGATTATAAGAAAAATCCAAATCTCATACAGTATGAATTACCTTTCCAATGAAAAGAAAAATGTTTAGGTTTCCCGTCTGTTGGATGGTTAATAATGACATAACAGTAAATACACCCTGATTTTTTCACCCCAAATAGCATTTTCTTCAAGGAAATTGAATAGGATATCTTTGTGAGGTGGAGGTAAGAGTTGTGGGAAGCCTTAGAAAAGCATAATTAAGCCTTCAGATGAACTGGCTGCAGTTGGAGGAATGAGAATGTTGATCAGCATTAATATAAAAATATATGTTTTTTGCTTTTTCCTTGTACTTGTAGGGTTTCAAATATTTGGAAAACCAAGAACATCAATAACAAAACCCACCCTGTAGCTTGAGTGTGACCCTAAAAGCTTCTTTTAACCAGGATGAGGGATGGAAAATTTTATCCTTAGCCCTGGTTTTGGGGGGTGTGTTTTGTTTTGTTTTGAAGGAAACCCTGAGTAAATCAAAAGGGCTACAGAGATGTGTTTGGGTAACTTAACCACGCTTAATGACTAGGAAGGCGCTCCTCTAAACAGTCTGACCTGTGTTTCCACTGTTGCTTATCCATTTATCAACTGGAGCCTTTATGCACAGCCATGTGGGCTCCTCTGGCCTTTTATCTGACTCCTCAGTGGAAAAAGTCTCCATGCATCTTGCTTCAGTCGAAGGGTGGCTGTATGGTCTGTTGCCACTCTAGCCTCAAGAGAAGGATCCATTTGTGAGCTCTGCGTTGCATTAGTAGGATCCCTTGCCCTGTTTCCTGTCTGTCTCCTTCTGCAAATTAGGAATGCATCGTCTAAGTCAAAGATCTTAGAAGGAATAAAAACAAGCAGCGAAAAATGATATCACTTCTCACAGAGGGTGCACTGTGTATTGGTGTCTCCTTTGTGGACTGATGAGTGGCTCCCTCCCAGATGAAGGCTCACCCTTGTCTGCTTTTTGGTATGGCTAATGGTTTTGTTGAATGTAATGTGTTCAAAACCAACCTGAGGCTCTCTCTCATTTGAAAAGTTCAGATCTTAGGAACAGTATGTGAAATGTGATAGTTGAACATCACTTTCCATCAGTGGTGATATTTCTCTCTTGCATTTCGGAATTCTCTTTCACTTATGAGGTGCATTCCCGCTTCATGTTTCCAGGTGGAACTATAGTGTTTACCTATTCTCTTCCACTGATCCAGCACTCCCTTCCCCACAACAGTGTTTTTAATGTTCTAAGAGATCTTCATCTCAGAATTGCCTTCATATTGTGGTTAAGTGTCTTTCCTTTCTACTTTATTATATTCTCCTCTCTTAGTGTCTGCACTTGATTTGTAAATTAAGCCCATGTTGCACTCCCTGATTATGTAGAGGGTAGCAGAAATTCTTCTGCTTCTAGCTGTGTTGAACCTTGATCTGGTAGCTGACTGTACAGCCTAAATTAAGGAGCCTTGGACTTTCTAATCTCATGGTCAGTGCACTCCTTCCAGATATCTTTTCTCCAGTAGGACATGTGTCTCCTCTGTCTGGCTTTTTTTTTTTTTTTTTTAAATCAGAGAGCAGCCTTTTGCTTTTCTGAGATGGAGCTGGGCTGCAGTGAGGGCAGGGTCACCTTCCCACTGCCCTCTGGTTGTCTGAGGGGTCAAAGGTAAATGTCTCGGTGCCCACTTATTACTGGAAGAGAAAAGGTGGCAGACGCAATTAAAATCAGTCACTGAAACCAAAGTTATTTTAAACATTGCTTCTATCTTCTGTCTATAAAAATTATGACTATGTTTGACAAAGTTACTGCCAAAAGTCGGGGCCTGGAACTTAGACTGTTTATGCAAGTTCATGATTGTTTTGATTTTGATTTTCCTAGGGAAAATCTTTGTAAACAGTTAAGTTCTCAGAAGCACCCATACAATAATAAACATAAACACAGTTTGCACTGAAATCACCCCTGCAGTAACCCAAATGTAACCCCTTGTATCGGAAGAGAAGCAGATGAATGAATAGACCCATCAGTTCTGCCCAGAATGGAGGTGAAGAAATCTGGAAGCTCGGATCCGTCCCAGTCTCAGCACTTGACATGCTCTTTGTTGCTGCGAGCACAGAAGTTGTTTAATGTGCCTGGTTTTCAGCTGTGGAGGAGTCACACTACCAGTTGATTGCTTCGCAGCCTATGCTGTGAAGACTCCTGAGAATATTGGACAGAAATTGCTTTTGAGCTCTCTCTGTAAATACAAGGCATTTGTATCCTAAATGTGCAGGAGTCGTGATCCATCCCCAAAGATGTAAACAGCCAATCTCAGTTTGACAGCACTATTTAGGTCCAGCCAGAGCTCCCTTTGAGAAAATCCTACTGTTGGCTATTCTGAAAAGAGGCAGGAGTATATCTCCAAAACTCCAAAGTAACCATGAGAAGAATAGAGACTGTAGGTGCCAATTAGTAAATTAGCATCCATGGTAAGAAGGTGAAGGAAGTCATCGCATCAAGTCTTGGTTAAAAGGACATTTTCCCTACACTGAGTATGTCAAAATGTAGAGCACAGCATCAGTCAGATGTAAAGAATTCTTGTACATGTGACTTTTATTTCCTTCATAGGCCAGAATGGGCTTTTCTGCATTTTGGGTTATGATGATGACACTAATAGCTAGCACTTACTGCATGCCAGTCTCCAGTGATTTACACATATTCTATCAATGGAGGCTCACCATAGCCCTAGGTGGCAGTTACTGTCATCCTCCCCATTTTACAAATGAGTAAGTCAGGGTACAGAGAGGTGAGGTAACTTGCCCACAGTCAAGCAGCTGCAAGTGACAGAGCTATATATGGATTCCCACAATCTGGCTGAGCAGAGGTTTCCATTTTTTTTGACCTCTGTCAGGTTCTGTTGCGTCTTAATTACACAGGCAAAAAATTTAGCGCAACAAATGCTGTTTTCTAGGAAGAGAATGGAGACTACACATATGTGGAAAGAGTGAAGATACCCTTGGACCACGGGACCTTGTTAATCATGGAAGGAGCGACACAAGCTGACTGGCAGGTGAGGATGTGCAAGTAATATGAGTCTACTCTCATGTGGAGGCAGTTTCCCGACTCTGAGGACTATTTCTAAGTAGACATGGTGAAAAGCAAGCTGCTTTTATAATGAGCCAGAGGGAATGAGCTGACATTCTTTCCAAGGAGTTTTGATACTACTGACAATCCAGATGGACACTAGTGTGTCCAGTAGAACTTTCTGTGATGATGAAAGTGTTCAGTATCTGTGCTGCCGAATGTAGTAGCCACTAGCCACATATGACTGACTTCTTAAAATGTGGCTTGCATGCTATAAAGAACTGAGTTTTTAATTTAACTTTAATTAATTTAAATTTAAATAGCTTCAGGGTAGCTAGTGACTATCTTATTGGAGTACACAGTTCCGCAGCTAGGCCATGCCATTTTTAGGCCAGATCATTTCTAAGGTGCACATGTTAATGTCAAAACACTTACCTTGAGAATGGAATCTCATGCCTCTCTTTGGTCTCATCCATTTATATGTTTATGAGATTTGGGAAATGGCAGATGTCTGAGAGGAACAGCAACAATTAGAAAAGACGAAAATATCTCACTTCAGAGGTGCTGGCATAGCACAGTGGGGCTGGAGATGGAAATTTGTTTCAAAGAAGGAAGCTTTCTCCACAAGACTTCAAAGAGCTTACTGCTCATTTAAGGGGGTTAGATGGAAATACTTCTGTATTCTCATGAATAAGTTTTAAGTCCCTTTGAACTAAAAGTGTGTGTGTGTGTGTATATTTATGTCAGAGTTATGTGTATTTCCATTTAGCATCGAGTGCCCAAAGAATACCACTCTAGAGAACCGAGAGTGAACCTGACCTTTCGGACAGTCTATCCAGACCCTCGAAGGGCGCCCTGGTGACATCAGAGCTTTGAGAGAGAAGCTTCACTGAAACGGAGCAAACCTTCCACTGAGAAGCGACTTCAAGAGGCTGGTGCTGCTAGATCTCGTGATGTGGCTGTTGGGAAGATGGTGGGGTTTGTTTCCCAGCTTGGAGTCCTATTAAATGAGAGCCAGCAACTCATGTTGGTAATAGGTCTACTGTGGGAACAGTTATCCCGAATCACAGCTCAAAATCGCTATCATCTTTAGGCAAATTAAAATCTATGTGGCAGTGCTCATGGATGATTTTGTTCGTAAGCAGTTTTCCTCCTACCCTTCCCCTCCCCCCGCACCCCACCTTCATTTGAAGAAATATGAATGGACTTGTGCTTCTGGGGAAAATTTCCACGTGTTTGTTCCTTGTGACTTCAGTGAAGTGGAGATATAAATATGCATCAGGGACTCTGGAGCCTTCCGTAGGCAGACAGCTGCTGAAACCCAAACAGAGGTGGTTTCATCTTGCCTTGCATACTGTCGTAATGGAAAGCTACATATCCAGGGAACACTGTAACCGAGTCTTCCTGCGACACACTCAGACAGTTACAGGCCTCCAAAGAAAGAGTGGTGGCAGTATGCGCTCGTCTAGCCACTTTCAAGCAGTCACCTGTAATACAAGAGAAAACTGTCCCCTTAAAGGGAGGAATCACTGAATGATGTCACAGGAAATAGCAGGCTGAAATTGAGGCTGAAGAACAGCAGAAGCCCTACTTATGACAGCTGTTCCACATAGATTATTTTCCCCTAGGGAATCACTTGAGTCATCTAGACCCAAGTCAGATAGAAGTGGGAGCAGCCCTGCAGGGAATACATTCAATTGCCTGATAGTTCTCTTCACCTTGTGTTTCAGTAGCCCTATGACTAACACTGTCTTCTGACTCAATGTTTTCTTACATACAAGGTCCCAAGGTACAAAGGTTAGTCTGTGATGTCACTGAGGTTCCCAAAACAAAACAGAGTGACTGCCCATTATTGCATCATAAAACCACGTGTCATCTTGACCTCTTGACTCAGGAGCTGTGTACCAGATTAATTCCAAACCAAGATACAGAAAACCTGAGAGAAAGGAAATGAATTTAAATGGACGAAAATAGGGCGGGAGAGTTAACAGTTTCTCTGTCTGCCAGTGGGGGCAAGGTACAGTGCCTTCTTGCTTTTTATCCTGTTTCCATTCCAGGCTGTAAGATTGATGCTCCCCACAATCATAGGAAAATGCCAAAGGCTGGGCACGCTCTGACTCGGCACTCAGATGGAGCACCATGCCTGGCCAGGCTGTTCTCTGACAAGCTCTCTGGCTCCTGGCATTGTAGTCCCCCTGCCCTTTTAAAAAACAAACAAACAAAAACAACAACAACAACAAAATGAGCCTAGCTTGTTTCTCTAAGAAATATGGAATGCTTTATAAAATGTGAGCGCCGTACCAAGCTTTCATGTGAGGGAAGTTCAAATCACCGTAAGAGTAAAATAAAGCCTCTTTTTAATTCCTAGCTGTTCTCCTATTAATGCAAACAATACCTGGCCAGGTGATACAGCCAGCTTGGTGATAAGTTTGATGCATGACACTAGGACATTTATCTTCCCTTCCTTACTAATGAAAGAACTGGCAGATGGTTCCAAGTCTTCCAGCATCCCTCTTTCCTAATGGAGGGTCGTGATCTCCCCTTGCGGCAGCTGTGCATTTGATCTCTTCACTTGTCACACCCATGTCTTTCAAGGAAACATTTCTACTATACAGCAGATGGGGTTGGCCACCACCTGGGTTTCTTGGTCTGAGAGCAGCAAACCTTCAGTTTTGTTTTTCTCGCTGTCACTCCAGATACCACATGCCAGAACTGCCCTTTTCTTTACCCTTAAGATAATGTCCCTTCTGAAATGTCAAGCAGGTACTTGCCATAGAGTAAAACTACAGGGTGTGGGCATAGACAGGAATTCCAGACCATGGCAAAGCACAGTGTGCTCAGTGACCACAGCAGCCTGTTGCCGTGTTTTGCTGGTGCTAGATCTGAACTAGGAATTAGAGGTGATGCTGTTTTTGCTTACATTACATGTAAAGCTGAGGAAGCAAATATAACAGCAGTGGCATGAATTAAGTTTCGGTTTTGTTTTGTTTTTTGCTGCCCTTTTTCTGAGCTTCAGCAGGCACCGTCCTAGGAGCTTTTATACATAATCCCTAATCTTTCCCACAGCAGTGCAAGAGAGAGATTCTGTTCCCATTGTAGAGCCTAGGAAACTGAGTCTCCAAGACGTTAGGTAAGTTAACAGGGCTTGTAGTGGCAGAACCGGATTTCAGACTGCAGGCTAGTCTCTCGGCCTGTTTGGTTTTCCTTTGCCATGCTGAATGTAGGCAGAATGGTCTGCTGAGCACTCCTGGGAGCCTGAGCATCAGGGCTGGCTCCTGCCGAGCTAGTCACAGCTGACCACAAGCCACCTGTTTGTTCCTTGGCTTTCCTGTGCATCAGGGCAGGCATCTGCATCTCATCTTCCCTTAATCAGCATCAGCATCTTCTAGCCAGAAACTGCCGGTGACTGGACTAGCAGTTGCCCATTTCATTGGGGAAGCTCCTTTTGGGGGGCAGAATCCAACTTCTGGTGTTAGACAAATTATCAGCCAACTTTCCTTGACTTTCTGGCAAGTGTTTTCTGACCATATCCACCTTCAGAGATACAAAACTTTTAGAGACAGATGAGTTTTCCCCTGTGATCCTTTCTTACCTCATTCTTACCTGTGAGTATACTTGGGGACCCTGAATGACACCAAACTCATATCAGGCTTTTTGACAATACTTACCAACACCATTACTCCAGTCAGCAGCCCAAAGAAACATCAGGCTGCACACTAAAAATGTCTTCTTTATGACAGGCAACTTGCCTCCAAACATGGGTTGAAACACTCACACTTAGCACCAGATTGCATCCCCAGTGTTGAAATCAGGATCCACATTGATCCATTGTTAACCCGCTAGCTCGGCTGGCATTGACAATTCCTGATAAGTTTGAGTCACAGCTAATAAACCTGCCCTTTCCTTGTGGCACCCACTCTCTGCCTCTGACTGATGTGATCCAGCTGTAGTACATGGCAGGTCTGTCTGGACACAGTAACTACAGAGCCGTCTCCTGAATTGTGTCATTGCAGTGCTGGAAGAGTTAAGTAGGCCCTGCAGTGGCTGAATGCTCCAGTTGGAGGGTTTCAGAGAAAGTCCTGACAAATGACAGGTTCCTGCCCTGCTGGGAATATTTCTTCTTTGAGTTCTGGCAGCTATTACTTGGCTGCAGAATATCTAAGACCCACTTTGCCTTTTCTGGTCATAAACACTTGTAGTGTTGAATCTTAAGTCTTGATTATTTTTTTTTAATGGTGGCTTTGATAAAGCTGAATGTTTCCATAGTGATGCATTCTGTTTATTTGAAACTTTACTTATACATGATTCCACCCACACGCTGTCCTCAGAGGGACCTGGTCTACAACTGCCTTCTTCCCCCACCCCATTTTCTGTTTGGAAGGAACACGCATGTGAGACCTTTGTCAGATTGGTGCTGCTGGAATCCATTCTTAGATGTGATCCCTGCGCCTGGGTGTCAATAGGGAAATGACTTCAGTGTTTATTTACTAGAGTGACTAATGGTGCCTTTTCCAGCTGGTCTAGAGCTGATGTGCCTCCATTTATAAAAGCCTTCCCCAGCCTGTGAATAGAGCCCCATGTTGGGCTGAGCTGTCGGTGAGCGTTTAAGCCGGAGGGGGAAGAGGAGGCAGTGTCAGAGCACAGTGGAGGAAAACAGGATAAATTAGGCTGTAGCTTTGTAGCCAGCATTACCAAGAAGGCTGTTTTCTCAAATGAGCTTGCTTGGAGCTGGCAGAGGCCTGTGTGTACGACGCTGTTAGGATGATTTCTGTGCCATCACTCCCCCTCATAGGAGCAGTGATGTCACGCTCTCTCAGCACAGGGACAGTCCCTGTTTTCATGTGGCCTCCAGGAATGTGGACGCGCCTTCACTGCTCTCACTGCTGTGGCTGAGCCCACTGATTTTTAGCTCTGGATGCAAATTCTGGTATCTGAAAGGGAAGGAAAGGGGAAAGTGGGGAGGGAGCTCACAGAGTAGCTACTCCTTTGGGACCACAACATCCATAATCTGATTTATTCCCAAAAGAATTCCTATGGCTGTTTTTGTATTTTCTAAACACCTGAGGAAACTGAGGTACCCAGAGGATTTATCAGATCTGGGATCCGGTGTCCCCAGTGGGCTGGGAGAGATAGCCCTGGGTGGCTAGCCAAGCCATGCCTGCTGCTGTGGCCTGTGGGACCTCCCGTCCCCCCATCCCTGGCCCCAGGGCCGGCAGCCTGGGCAGTGGGAGCGCTGCAGCCAGAGCCCCCTGTGCCCGTCTTTTTCTGGGAGCCTGGGCGGGAGCTCTCCACAGGCCGGGTAGTGGGAGGAGGAGGCTTTGGGCCGCACGGGTGCCTGAGGGCCTTGTGACTGTTGCAAGGGGCTGCTCAACGCAGGAAGGACAGGGGCAGGCGAACTGGGACAAGGACCTAGAGGCGGGAGGCCGGGAACCCAGTGCTAGCCCTGCAGCCTCCAGGCTATGTGTGGCCAAACCCGTTCCCACGGCCCGAGTGGCGGAGCCAGAAGGGCCGCCTTGCAGGAAGGCGCCCAGGCCCCTCGTGCCCTGGCAGGCCAGCTGAGTCCTCGCTGCCTAAGTCTGAGCCGCCTGCCTGGGGGCTCGGTCAGGACACCAGCCTCGCCACCAGTCTGCATTTGGAGGATGGCTGCGGGGCCACCCAGGGGTGAACCCAACGAAGGTGGGATCTGCCCTGAGGGCTTCTGTAGGCCTGGAGAATGTAGGATAGCTGGAGGAAGGATGCCATGGGGCCTTTCAAATGGGCAGAACTTAGGAAAGTCAGAGAGAGGAGGGGAACCCCACGGAAGTGTCTCCTTCAGGTTGTTTCCTGGAATGTTTCCTCTGAAAACATGTTAAGGGACTAGCCACCAGTTTCTTCCCAGCTTTCTCTCTCTTTCTCTCTGACTTTCAGCTTCCGTTCACCTGGAGTGAGAGGGAAGGGAGGACAGCTGGCCTGGAGGTAAAAATCAAGAGGGGAGGCATGAATGTGTGGCTTCTCACTCTCCTAGCCTGCCCAGCAGTGCCCTCCTCCAGGCTCCTGTGCTGGGAGGAGGGGCGCAGAGAGGAGAGCTGGTGAACTCCCATGCACATACTGCCCTTTGACTCCCCGAAGCCCTGTGGGGTGTCCATAG